GGACGTGAAATATTTAGATCTTGATGGTGAACTACGTTCGGAATCGCACTTAGGGCACGCTAATACTATCTATACAGTATTCCAACTCGGCCATATTTTTGAAATAAATGTCAACAGCCCCGCGGTACGTCACGGTATGACAACATGCGATAGGGCTGCTCACCTACAGTACCCATTCTAATTACATCTGTCTACTTAGAATCTTAGTTTTGTGATTGTATTTTTTTTTTATTTAGACAAACAATATACTTTGTTAATGAACGAAAATGATTAATGATGTCAGTCATGAGCAGTCTGCCCATCATATCTTGTGGGAGTGTGATCTTTGGAAACATGAACGTGATATAATGCTTAATTCAATACAACATACATCTGTTTCCGCAATTTATTACACCGATCTTGTCGCGACAAGGAAAAATTTCCGTGCTTTTAAGCGATTTTGTGAAAAATATTATTGGCAGGTAGTTGCTAATTGCTCATAAGATAGGCCCCCTTAATTTAATTTATTGTCCGTGGTGCATAATCTTTTTCTAAAGGTTTTAAACCTTTGTTTGTCACCTGTCATCCGCTTTGTTCATTCGTAAATGACGGTCAGTCAAATTCAATCACCTTAGTCATTTTCAACATTAGGCCATCGACGTCCGTTCGGCACATTCGCAACACCCCTAATTTTTTCATCTCGACCACGTCCCGAGATTTGAAATTCGAAGGAAAGCTCGCGTTTCGTCGGTTTATATGAAGTTACAATACTGTATGATATTATTACCGTGCTTAAGGTAGGTAAAGATTGCATCTATACGGGACTATTCCCACCTCTCGTTCCCACCACTGCAACTCCTGTGTAGCCAGGATCTACAGCTTGACCGCCACAAAAACCCAACCAATGAAGGTCAAGATTGTCCCGGGGGAAAGTTAAACTGTCATTGGACCCGCAACGAAATTAATCAGAAGAACATAGGAGGAGTTCGAAATTAAGGTTCGACTTCCCTCCATTGCAAAGATTGCATCTATGTGAATCCTTGAGATGTCAGACGCTCATGGCGGCTCATTAAAAGGTGTATTCACATTTCCACGCGTGTCTAGTACAATGGGCCACCATTCCAACTACCCTTTTCCGTTTCTTCTTTCGCTCTCATCAAATGGCAGTTCTTTGCGACAGAACGAGACGACATGACTTGAAATAGGTAGATGAAACTGTGACCCACTGTACGTGTAATTTCGCATGATACAAGTTGGCCCGTCCCTTCAGATGAATGTGGATCTTGACTATTCACCTTTGGTCACCTGGGTGATCAAGTTGTAGACCGTGGATATTACCTACTGTGACATCATAACTGTTACAGGTTCAAAGAAAGATTTTTCTATAGGTCTCGTGAATTTTCCGAGCGTATTCATTTGGTAGGGAGTCACTGTTATTTTTAAACTACAAAAGCTATTAAAAATACAAAACTACTAAAACAGAAAACTTAAAGCGAACACAATATTCCGCCGCATACAAGAAACAACAATAGAAGCCAGCAAGATGATAATTTACTATAATTTCCTCCGCAATTTCGCACAATCACCTCGGCACAATTGCCACAAGCTCTACGTATTTTATTGTGCTGTATTATTGTTTTACCTTTGCTAACTTTTGATATCGCTTCGCTAAAATAACACGCTCCGTGTAAACATATAACATAAAACAGTGGGGCAGTTTGTTTCGTGTGAATTATATTGGACAGTATTTAGTAATGCGAGCGTTTTATATGTTTGAGAAACAATAAAATTAGCTCGCTATTGAATGGTATCACGCACGGTATATGTTTGCATCATTTCTATTGACGTGATTGAAGTGCACGTGAAGTTTTTTATGGAAACTCGCAGGGAAATACATATATTTTTTCAGATTACAACAGTATCTTATAGACTTATAGAGGCTATTTTCAGGGACCGTAAATTACACTTCCAAAAAATTTAAGAAATTGCTTGCTCAATTGGTTTGAACCATTTGACGATGGCAGAGGAAACTCAATCACTAGCAAAATGAATGGAAAGCGATATTTTAACATTTAAAATGATAGTTTACTGCTATCTTATTGACCGAAACAGATAGAGACACTTTATTAATAATCTACAGCAATAAGAGTATTTGGAAAAATATCAAAATAGTTATTAAAATTAGTTGCACATGCGATAATAGTGTCTCAGCAAAAAAGTTCTAAACATAAAATATACACCTGGATCCTACAAGAAAGCCTTTGAGAAAAGCTAGTAGAAGGAGCTCTCAGAAGTTCATTCAAGCTAATCCCACATCAAATAAACCTGACATTTATAATGTTTTAATCCAGACTGAAGCTAGATTATTTATTAATGACAGATACACAAGTGGATCTTGTAAGTGCTCGTACACACGCAAGACTTGGCGCCAGGCGTTAGGCGTCAAATGTGTATAACATGATGTATCAGAGCGTTTATGTACATTGTACACGATGTTTTCTTTGCACTGTTAGTTTTCATTTCAGGTCTTGATTGCCACTCTCGGTTCGTTTTTTTTTATTTCTAAGTGCTTATTTGGTAAGCAAATACCCATCATATTAGAGAAATGATGTTTAGATACCGTGCAATACACCGTGTGGTCTCGTAAGAGGCGGCTAAGGGACAAATATTCGAACATCAGGCCTCTGCCAACCTGTCTGGCCAAGGTTGGTGGTGTAGGCCACATTCTCCATTATTGTTTCTGTTAAATAAAAGGGTAGTACTCCTGAAGTGGAGACCAAATGACCTGACGATGATGAGGACAACAACAATCTACATAATTCATCAGGTACAGTCAGCGTCAAATAGTTCGTTCGTGACACCCAAAGTAGCCATAAGTTCGCAACACGCTTTGTTACAATGAGGGTTTTCGCGTATGAAAGATCCGCTAGATGGCGGGACGTGGATGTGGGGTCTGACTGCTGCGTGATTGGTGGATTTTGACATATCTGTCAATGTCATGTCAAAAATAACCAATCATGCAGCTTTTGGACCTCGCGTCTACGTATTGCTATCTGGCGGATTTTTCATACGCGAAAACCCTCATTGGATTTTTTCACTTTGGGTGTCACTAACTATTTGACGCTGACTGTACCAACTGCAGTAAAATATATGAAGAACGTAGTAATATGAAGTCTCATTTTCAATTGTTTTTTCTTGTCTGCATAAGACATCAAAAACAAATGACAAAAGGAATATCACAGTGGTAATAATGTAATTTGTAAAACAAAATGCTACCATCAAGGACGGGTTTCAGTTTCCATATTTGGAAAGTCGTTTAGCGATTTGCCGTCGACGTGCCCTAAGTTTTATTTTTACGATTTACAAAATAGTTTTAAAAGATACAAAACTCACGAATAAAGTGATCATTAAATAAAATAAATTAAATAAGAATTATTAAATTCCGTTTGGTTATACGTTAGGAAAAGAAACCCCAAAATATTCGATAGTGCATATTTAAAAATTAAATCATTCGACTGACATTTTAGCATTTTTGTTGATTTATTATTGTTGAAAGTGATAAGAATTTATACTAGAGGCGTAGATGCCTACATTCAATCGACAAGTTTCATAATAAAATTTATGGATCTCATGACAATAGGCTAATTTCCTAAAAAAATTTTTTTAGTCCGTCTTGTTTCATCATCATCATCATCATCATTTCAGCCACAGGACGTCCACTGCTGAACATAGGCCTCCCCCAATGTTTTCCATGTTGATCGATTGGTAGACCGTCATGTTTAATATCAAAAAATATTGGACACATATATTTTTATTTGTCAATCTAACAAATAATTACATAGTTATGGTGCGTTGAAGTTCCACACGACGTCACAACGTGCGGCACTTTATGCACGCATTGACGTAACGGGCCTCTTCTTATGAACTTAGTGCGCTTTATCTCTTTAAATTTTCATTAGCTTGAAAAAGTGAAAAATACGTGTAGAGTATTTTTTGATAAGTTAACTGACGGACTAATTAAAACTCTTGCTTTTTGACCCAGGAAACATCCCTATTCAATAAGATTCAAAATATCGTCTTGCGACTCTTCAGGTAGTGATGATGTACCTTGCGTTATGTTTAACCGCCTCTGTGGTCTAGTGGTAAAAGTCTACCTGCTTCACACCCAAAGGTCTCGAGTTCGATACCCAATGGGTGCAAAATTATATCGGTTTGGTTGTTAGCTACCACTAGGGTTGCCAGGTCCAAAATCAAAAAAGCCGGACTCTGTGCTTCATTTGGCCGGACATTTTACCCTAAAAGCCGGACATGTGTGACAATTAGTGTCATAGCTCACGAGTGAGTACTGTCATCGTCGTATCATCGGTTGCCCAACATAACATCCTGATGCGTGCGCTTCATATTATTCTGTGCCTCAACTTTCGCCTGGCGCAGCAAGCCACATAAAAAGCCGGACAGGCCGGACAAGACCGTAAAAAGCCGGACACCTGGCAACCCTAGCTACCACCATCTTAATAATGGTATCAGCATTGTTGTTCCGACATTTGAATTTTCTATAGCCAGTTCCTTGGGGCTTAGGATTCCGGGTGAAGCTCGCTTTTACCTTAGGCTTGATCATCACTTTCTGTCAAGTGAGATGCAGGCCAACAGCTTCCTCGTTATGAATTTTAAAAATGTACTTTGAATATTATAAATAACTTAACTTGAAAAAATCTAACTGCCTAAGGCGGGATTGAACCCACGACCTTCCGCTTGCCAGGCGACTGCTCTTCCAACTGAGCTACTTAGACACTGGATGAACCTTTGGCAGTTCGATTTTTTCAAGTTATTTATAATTTTCAAATTAGTTTGAGATGCGACTCTTAACGCTAAAAATTAAATAACTATGTATTTAAAAATGTACTTTGTATCGCAACGATATCTTTACTTGTACCCATAGTAAAAGCTTTGCTTAGTTTGGGATTAGAGGCACAGTGGAAAATATCGAAGGATATTTGTTTTATTTGTTTATTTGTTAACAGGCGCCCCCAACGACACTCACAAGTCGGACGAGAACGCCAAGACGGGAGGCATCAAGGTGGTGCAGCTGGCTGTACTGCAGAAGCCGACCAACAATGAGCATGATGATTCTGATGGTGAGTCTTGAAAGTTCTTTCGTCATCATGATTACACGTTGAAATGTCGCCATAACAACAATGTTAACAGCATTGTTGTGTTCCGGCAGTTAGAGGTAAGATAGCCAGTTCCTCTGTGGCTGAGGATTCCGGGTGAAGCTCGCTTCCACCTTCGGCCTGATCATCACTTACCATCAGGTGAGATACAGGCCAAGAGCTTCCTCGTTGTGAATATAAAAAAAAATGTAACAGTCCACTATACTTATGTACCATAGACTGTACGTACGATTCTTTCAAGGAACGCTACAAAACAGATCTCTCATTTTTATTCACCCAGCAGCTTTAAATTGATAGTTTTTCTGATTTTAGTAGCGCCTTCAGGAATTGGTTTTGACCGTTATGTACCTATTGAAAAAAGATTCAATTATAACTACAGGAATTGATTACTTTTAAATCCATAGAGAAAGATACAGGACACATTTTCCGAGAAACTTTTTTTCAAAAATGCTTTGGGCTTGGTTTATTAAGAAAATGTGTGTAAAAATATTAAAATCGGTAATACAGCATTCAGTTTTATTTACTTTATTCGGGACTACTGGTAAAGGCACCATTTAAGCGTTCGAAAAGTTTTTATTTTTAATATCCAATGCCTAATACTTAAACAAACAATTAATAGAAAATTCTTCATGTATTGAGCTGTTTTTTACTATATTATTAGTGCAGTTATTATTGCTAATTATTAAAATATACTTGTTATTTTATATTTAATAACGTGTCTTATTTATAATTTTAATTAATTGTAAAGTTGTCAATTATTTAGTATTGGCCAGTTGTCTTTCGAATTTTCTGTTTCTAACAGTATTCGTAACATGCAAGTGTGTATATTGTAAGACCCAATTACTAAAATAGTAGAAATTTTTATGATTTAATTGCATTTTATTATCTTTATTAGTATAGTCAGTGTTTGTATTCGTAATTGTTATTTTGGATCACTGAGCAGTAAATATAACATTAAGAGCATTATTACATAGTACATTTTTATAAAAGTCCAGCTTTCAAAGTAAGTAAACCTAATATTCTAAATGGCAAAATATGATGGACATTTGTAAATACATAGTTTAAGACCTCATCACTGTACCATATTTCAAGAAATAAATCATTTGGTAATCCAATTTATTTAGATGCTCATGCCGGCTTATAATGTCTGCACCAGAGCCCCTAGACAATGTTACATAATGACATAGTTTTCCAAAATATACTTCGAAATTATTCCTACTCTCTCAAAGCAAGGGCAGTTGTGTCTTCATTCGTAAGGACGATCGCGACTCTAAACAACAAAGCATCTAACATAGAAACATTTGTGGCGGGCACACGAGCGTTGCGGCGCTGCACTGCAAAGATTTCGCTGTATGCTTTGGCTCTTACGTCCCAAAGTGCGATTTTGCGATAAAAATGAAGTATTGTACAACCTACATTATTAGAAAAATAACTATAGATCGTTTCATCCACGAAGACGCGCCCCACTTTGTTCCGAGCAATCCGAGCCTCATTATTGTAGTGTGCGTGGATAATTTAGCGTGTACCGGTAACACTCAGACATTAGCGGAAGAATGGTGGGGCGCGTCTTCGTGGATAAAACGATCTACTCGTATATCACTATATTGACCATTTAGCTTATTTATGATTATTTGTTGACTTACAGAGAAGAACAAGCACATGATGGACGACGACGAGGAAACCGACTCCAGCGGGTCGGTATCGGACTCCGCCGCCAACGACTCGCAGGAGGGCCGGCCCCATGTCTGCGACGTTTGCGATCTGAGGTCAGACATTACATGAGGTCACATTCTTTATTTGTATAATGCATTCTTTATGCTTGTGCATAGCGCGTAACTGAGAAGGATCCTGATAGAACTGTCCCAAACACGTTTGGAGCAAATCTGATTCTGAAGTCGTCGTTTCAGCCAAATGACGTCCACTGCTGGACAAAGGCCTCCCCCAAGGTTTTCCACAATGAACGGTCCTGCGCTGCCCGCATCCAGGCTCTTCCCGCGACCTTTACCAGATCGTCGGTCCACCTAGTAGGAGGCCTGCCCACGCTACGTCTTCCAGCCCGTGGTCGCCACTCGAGAACTTTCCTGCCCCAACGGCCATCGTCTCTACGAGCTATGTGCCCCGCCCACTGCCACTTGATTTTAGCAATTCTGTGAGCTATGTCGGTTACTTTGGTTCTCCTGCGGATCTCCTCATTTCTGATTCGATCACGCAAGGAAACTCCGAGCATAGCCCGCTCCATCGCCCTTTGGGTGACCTTGAGCCTTCTTATGAGGCCCATAGTAAGCGACCACGTCTCAGATCCGTATACCATCACTGGCAACACGCATTGGTTACTTTCGACTTTAGACACTGCGGTATTTCGGACGTGAGTATATGGCGAAGCTTCCCGAACGCTGCCCATCCGAGTTGGATTCGACGATTGACCTCTTTCTCGAAGTTGGACCTACCTACTGTTTGTCCCAGGTATACATAATTGTCAACAACTTCGAGTGTAGTCTCCAACCTTCAGAGGAGTGGGTGCAACACGGACATTAGACATGATTTTTGTATTGTCCATGTTCATTCTGAGGCCCACTTGTTAAGAGGCTCTGAAGTATCGCTGACATAACAAAAATTACTGCTTCTCTAGCGCGGGAACTTATCCAGTCATTTGTTGTCTGATACCCATAGTTACAAGCTTTGATTTTGAAACATAGCTTGACTTATCGCCACATCGGACTCCATTATGCTGGTGCTAAGAAATGGCAGAAGAAACTCACCACACTAACTCCTAGTTAGATTGTGAAGTCTATGCACGCTCTTGGGTGAAGTTACGTTAGCTCAACTCTTAGCCGACGTACTCTTCCTTCCTCGTACAAGGGCTGCCTTTGCTTCTTTACATTGACAACGCACTGAAAAAAATGTTTGGTTACTGCTTACACAACAAAAGTGACCACCGAAAACTTTGGTTATGAGGAACAAAAGGTTGTGTAAATCAAACAAATAAATCTGTAGTGAGCTAGACTTGGTTTGTTTATAAGTTAACACTTAGTTCACCAGTGTAGTTTTTTGTGTAAGCTGTAACCAAAAATTTTTTTCAGTGCGATAAATCTTTTAGGGACCCCCCACTCTAGCGTCTTTCAAGTGTCCTTCAAGCGTCGTCGTCTTGCCAGCGTTCGCGTAGAATCGTCGCGATAAAGCGCTTTAGTTTACAGAGAGTTGGTGCGTCGACGTTCTGCGGGCGCCTGGCAAGACGATACCACAACTGCGTTCGAAAAAACGCTAGTTTGAGAGACCTTATGGCTAAGAACTCACGGCGCGATTTTCACACGCGCCCGCGGCGGTTGTGGAATTGCGGTTTTATTTCAAAACTCACGGGATTTGCGCGGTTATTCTAAGAACTCACACCGAGCGGGACCCGATTATAACCGCGCCCGCTGCGGGCGAAAACCGCGTCGTGAGTTTGTGCATTAGTTTTTACATAAGTATCTGCATTCTACAGAAGCTGCGGGCCCGCAACCGTCGCGGGCGCGGGTGAAAATCGCGCCATGAGTTCTTAGCCTATATGTTATTTTTGTGTGCTATGCAATAATGGTACTTATCTCCCCGTATACAGGTTCCAACGCTCGTCGCACCTGTCGCGGCACAAGCTGACTCACACGGGCGAACGGCCGTTTACTTGCGGCGGCTGCGGCCGTTCCTTCGCGCGCTCCGACAAGCTGCGTGTTCACACTAAGATCTGCGAGCGCGTGAGTACACTATAACGTGCTATAACCCTTTAAATACACATTTATGGCACACTAGGGCCTAATGGCCTAGTGATTAGGCCAGCGTTTCTTAATCTTTTTTTTCCACGGAGCCCTTAGGAAATCCAGCAGTAAGCACATTTTTAGAACCCCTTAAGCTTTTTAAGCAGCAGATTTGCGAGACTTATGGTGGTATTTATTTATGATTGTTAAATGGTCCATAGATAAGGCTGCAGACTTGACTTGATGTCCTATGTCCCCTAGATGGGACAAAGGTGTTCACAACAGTCCTCCTTCGCGTTCGATCTTGAGCTTCGCGTTTGATCTCGCTCCAAGTCTTACCGATGTTCTTCCCCCGCCTACAGTGCGAGAAAGTAGAAGGATAGTCTAGCCCCGATAAAATGTTGTGTGTGAAATAAAATTATATTTTCCGTCTTCAGGAGGACCCCACCGTCGACATGACCAACGAGTCGACCGCGAAGCGCGAGAACAGCTCGGAAGTGATGTCCGGGATGGTCCGGACCACCCACCGCGAGTCCGGACACCTGGTGTTCACGCCCAGCGGTGACGTCATGCTGCCGCCGCGAGCCAACAGCCTGCTGCTCAACTCCTCGCTGGAGCCGGCGCGCGAGCTGCCGGGCGAGCTGGTGAGTGTCGCGTGACGTCACCCGCCGCGTGACGTCACCCGCCGCCGCGCGCCAACAGCCTGCTGCTCAACTCCGCATGGATGGATGATGAGTGTAGTGTAGTCCGTGTGACGTCACACGCCGCGTATAAATAAATCTTTTTGGACAATTTGGACAATTTCACACAGCGCCAGCTAGCCCCAAAGTAAGCAACTTAATGCTTGACATGCTTGTGTTATGGGTGCTAGCTTAACGGATATACTACTTATATACTTTTTTTTTAAATACATAAATATTATACATATTCACATCCAGACCCGTCACAGAAATTAAAATTCATCATTTCAATTTCTGCCCGGCCGGGAATCGAACCCGGGACCTCTCGGCATAGTAGTCCGTTCTGAACCACTACACCAAACAGCTGACATGCCAACGGCGTATATGTAGCCCGTGTGACGTCACGCTGCCTCCGCGTGTGATGTTCCCCACCAAATTTACGTGTAGCACCGCTGTGCATACGTGTAGTTTTTTCTACCTCCTGTGCGTGAAACCACGCCGAAAAATTCACGAATCATTTTAGTTAAGGTTTTTGGCAATTTTGTATCTCTCTTACACTCGGCATATCGTCATATTTTCCTCCAATGATGTCAAACGTACACCCATTACATCCTTTTTCCTTCATTGAGGTCAAATGTGACCTCAACAAGACAACAAGGTTTTAAGCTTTGCAATGGAGGGAAGTCGAACCTTAATTTCGAACTCCTCCTATGTTCTTTTGATTAATTTCGTTGCGGGTCCAATGACAGTTTCAACTTTCCCCCGGGACAAACTTGACCTTCATTGGTTGGGTTTTTATGGCAATCAAGCTGTAGATCCTGGCTACACAGGAGTTGCAGTGGTGGGAACGAGAGGTGGGAATAGTCCCGTAAGACAACAAGCCCATAATTTTATTTATTTTATAGAAACCAACAGCGATACATTGAAAATGTTAGTTATAAGATTTAGACTGATTGTATAGCCAATGAAAGGTCTCCCCTTTTATAAAAGTACATTGTTGTTGGGAAAAAATATGAATAAAGGGTGTTAAAAAAAATTATAATTAAAAATAACAAAAACTCACAAAGAAGCAATTCATTGCGTCAATAATAGTCAGAATAAAGCACTCCAAGAGTGTTAATTAATAATTAGACTTGACTATCTTACTAAAGAAATCAAAGTGCCTTAATGACGTCCCTTTTAACTTTTTTTTTTTTTATAAATATCCTTGGACATTTTACACTGCGCTCTAAGCAAAGCTTGTACTATGGGTACTAGACAACGGATATAAACATACTTAAATACTTTTTTTTTTAAATACATACATATTATACATAGAAAACACCCAGTCCAATACAAACAAATATGTTCATGCACACAAATGTTTGTACTGTGCGGGAATCGAACCCGCTACCTCCGGAATAGTAGTCCGCTTCGAACCACTACACCAAACGGCCGACCTTTTAACTGTCAATTTAGTACTTGCAAGAAGGTCGATGTGTGCAAATTGTTTATTGAATGTACTAACAAGTCGCGACAAAACTGAGTTTCGATTGTAATTTGTATAGTGCTGGGGAGTATCCAACATTTATGTTTATTATCCCAGGTGGACCCGCCCCGGCGCGGACGCGGCCGGCCGCGCAAGACGCCGCTGCCGCTGACGCCCAAGATTAAGAAGAAGCGCGGCCGCCCGCCCAAGACTTCGCTCGGTGAGTGTAGAGTTCGTATACAACGACATACATTTGTCTATGTTCTTTGTTTCTTTTGTAGAATAACGCTCGTATTCACAAACGATGCTTGCTTAAGTGAAGCAGCAAATCGATCGCACAGCGTTAAATAGAGCTCTGTGATTGGTTCGTGTTGCCCCGTGCGTCCACGCGCACTGTGGGACCTCATAGTCACGATTGTAAATACGGGCGTAAATGATGCAGGGATTGACTTTAATTAAATAATTTTAACATGATTAGGTATTCCAGCATCTTAATCGACATCTCAAGTTCTAAATTCATGTTCGGAAAGACTTGTAAGTTGTAACTACTTCACTATTGCGCGATTGGATTATGATTGCGAGGAAAGAATAATGATTACATGCTTTGGAGGGGGAGTTAATCTAACGGATTCACTGGGCCACCAAGATAAATGCTGCTGCGTGTAGTGTAGGCAGTGGTGGTTCATAATTCTAATAAAATTAAAAGTGAGACTGTTCTTAAAAGTTCCAATTACAGACAAAATTGGTCCCAACCCTCAACAATTTCAAGTTCCTTTATAAAATCTCCTAACCTTTCCAGACATGGAGGGCTGTCTTATCTATACTTTTATACTAATATTATAAAGCTGAAGAGTTTGTTTGTTTACTTGAACGCCCTAATCTCAGAAACTACCGGTCCGATTTGAAATTTTCTTTCAGTGTTAGATAGCCCATTTATTGAGGAAGGCTATAGGCTATTATACCATCACGCTACGAGTAATAAGTGCAGAGAAAAACTAAAAAATGTTGCGCAAACGGGTTTTCACGCGTAAGAAGTCGCGGGCACAGCTAGTTTACAAATAAAAGTGGTCCCAACCCACACGAATTTAAGGTTCCATTTCTCAATTACCCCCAACTACTTCCAGACATGGAGGGCTGCGTGCTGACCAGCGGCACGGTGATGGGTCCGAGCCCGCAGCAGGCGCCGCAGCCCGTCGCGCACATGACGCCGTCCGGCCAGCAGCTCATGCTTAAGCGCAAGCGCGGCCGCCCGCCCAAGAACTACCTTATGCCGCGCCCTGGTGAGTGCCTTAATGACGTCACTGTAACGACCCAGCGTATTAGACAGTTTTTATAGTAGCTCATGCTCAAAAGAAGCGCCGTAGCGTCATTGAGTTCATACAGCTCATGTTCAAGCGAAGCGCGGCCGCCCGCCCAAGAACTACCTTATGCCGCGCCCTGGTGAGTGTAACACCGAGTCAGTAGTACAGACAACTTAGTTCATATAGTTATCTATACTCAAGCGAAGCGCGGCCGCCCGCCCAAGAACTACCTTATGCCGCGCCCTGGTGAGTGTAACACCGAGTCAGTAGTACAGACAACTTAGTTCATATAGTTATCTATACTCAAGCGAAGCGCGGCCGCCCGCCCAAGAACTACCTTATGCCGCGCCCTGGTGAGTGTAACACCGAGTCAGTAGTACAGACAACTTAGTTCATATAGTTATCTATACTCAAGCGAAGCGCGGCCGCCCGCCCAAGAACTACCTTATGCCGCGCCCTGGTGAGTGTAACACCGAGTCAGTAGTACAGACAACTTAGTTCATATAGTTATCTATACTCAAGCGAAGCGCGGCCGCCCGCCCAAGAACTACCTTATGCCGCGCCCTGGTGAGTGTAACACCGAGTCAGTAGTACAGACAACTTAGTTCATATAGTTATCTATACTCAAGCGAAGCGCGGCCGCCCGCCCAAGAACTACCTTATGCCGCGCCCTGGTGAGTGTAACACCGAGTCAGTAGTACAGACAACTTAGTTCATATAGTTATCTATACTCAAGCGAAGCGCGGCCGCCCGCCCAAGAACTACCTTATGCCGCGCCCTGGTGAGTGTAACACCGAGTCAGTAGTACAGACAACTTAGTTCATATAGTTATCTATACTCAAGCGAAGCGCGGCCGCCCGCCCAAGAACTACCTTATGCCGCGCCCTGGTGAGTGTAACACCGAGTCAGTAGTACAGACAACTTAGTTCATATAGTTATCTATACTCAAGCGAAGCGCGGCCGCCCGCCCAAGAACTACCTTATGCCGCGCCCTGGTGAGTGTAACACCGAGTCAGTAGTACAGACAACTTAGTTCATATAGTTATCTATACTCAAGCGAAGCGCGGCCGCCCGCCCAAGAACTACCTTATGCCGCGCCCTGGTGAGTGTAACACCGAGTCAGTAGTACAGACAACTTAGTTCATATAGTTATCTATACTCAAGCGAAACGCGGCCGCCCGCCCAAGAATTACTCGTACCTTATGCCGCGCCCTGGTGAGTGCCTAAATGACGTCACTGCGCAGCTGCGCCCTCTGCACTGTAATACAATACTCATTATTTATTATACTATGGTAGTTCCGAACTACCCAGCCAGTAGTAAAATAAAAGCCAGCACAAATAGTTTTAGTTCGTATTTAAGCGAAGCGCGGCCGCCCGCCCAAGAACTACCTTATGCCGCACCCTGGTGAGTGTCTCCATGACCTAACTGTAATGAGCTAGCAATAAAAGAAACCGCGTGACATCACCGAGCTAGCATAAAAACAAAAACACTTATAATGTAGCTCAGCAAAGAAGCGCGGCCGCCCGCCTGGCTTCGATGACGTGACTGCGGTCACTGTAATGTAACACCGAGTCAGTAGCACAGACAACTTGGTTCATATAGTAATTAATACTCAAGCGAAGCGCGGTCGCCCGCCCAAGAATTACCTTATGCCGCGCACTGGTAAGCGACGTTACTGAACCAGCCTAAAAACACAAGCTAATCTGTAGTATGACAGTTCATGCTCAAAAGAAGCGCAGTAGCATCAGTGTAGTTCATACAGCTCATGTTCAAGCGAAGCGCGGCCGCCCGCCCAAGAACTACCTTATGCCGCGCCCTGGTGAGTGCCTTAACGACGTGATTGCGGCCGCTGTAATGTGCCAGCAATAAAGCGTAACATAATAATATTGCGTAGTCTATGATGAAGCACAAAACTACTTCATGACGCTTCCTAGTGAGAGCCTAGATGACATCACTGCGCTGCACTACAATAGCGAGCCAACAGTGTAAAATCAAAAGCCAACAGCGTACATATTTCACACAGTTCATATTTAAACGAAGCGTGGCCGCCCGCCCCAGAACTATCTAATGCCGCGCCCTAGTGAGTGCTTCGATGACGTCACTGCTATCGCTGCACTACAATACTGAGCCAGCAGTAAAAACAAAAGCCAGCAGCTTACATGACGTAGTTTATGCTCAAACGAAGCGCGGCCGCCCACCGTATGTTTACGTTACGATATCATTTACTAAGCATCCCAGACCTAAAAAATCATACGGTGTGATTTTAACAAGAAATCATTACTCTCTCATTACTACGCCACGTTGAAACTAAATACAATTTACACCGTCTGTTTGGCGAGGCTGAAAGAATCTTAGAAGTTACAACCTACCTTATTTTGTTTTACGTAGCTCTGCGGAACTACATTTTGTTCAAATGACTAGCATAATGTCCATGCGTTTTACACTTCAATTTATCACATATAAATTAGACCATGAGCGTTGTTACAATGCATTCAATGAATTAGATGCCAAATTTATGATCACAGTGTGAGTCATTCGTAAAATTATGTTAGTGATTCAGAATTCAAAGAAGTACTCTGCTATATGCTTATACACTCATGTTGTTGTACATTTTTTTCTTTTCATTGTGTGTTTTACGCATTTTTTATTTTGCCTTGGCTTCGTCGCCTCGCTAGATTTGTTCTATATTTTTTGCACTTTTTTTGCTTGTATTTAAATAGATTGTAAGCAATGTTGGCCTAAGAATCGTATACTTATACAAGGTGGCAACGATAAGTGATTTCACTCGATTATTTTTAAACTACCTATACAAGATATCTAAAAACAGGTTACTGATTCTGAAAGTACTTCACGAGCTCTATCAAACAGTATCAATATTAGGTTACAGAATAAACTGGATAAATCCGAAAATTACTATTAATGTTTCTAGCTTTTTGGCAATGATTGCCAAATATCTGTTTAGATTTATAAAAGTGTTTTGTTGCCAAATCCCGTAATAGTGATAATTTATATTGAAAAATGCCTTAGAAGCTTTATGTGCCGTATTTGGCACTTTGTGTAGGACTAAAGATTTCATGAGCATTAACTCGTCTCATCGGAAAATGTTTATTTTTTCTGACAGTTCTTTAGACAGCATTGCTTACATTTTTTAGAATTCCTAAACCGTCTATAGAATCAAAATAGTAAGACACGGGTCTTAACGCAGACTGTGTCGCAGTGCTGCAGCCGAAACGTCAAGCCGTGAGTACATAATGTAACTCATTAATAAACGTCGCGTTAAGACCCGTGTCTTACTATTTTAATTGAAATGGAACGCGAAAGTTTAAAAACGTCTATAGAATCACGCAGAAAATACAGAATATATCTAGACTCCCTTGGTGATTGCCCCTCTAACAGGCAAGTCTGTTGTTCAGGTGTGGACATGCAAATACCGATGCAGTACGGGCTCGTCGACCTGGCCAAGTGTTGTTAGTATACCCATTGGACATTGCATGAACTAAAATTGAATAATCGAAAACGGGGGATAGACGTACTAATCGGTATTAAAACTTTGTTACTGTAGCTAAAATGCACTTTGGATTTGGCTCGCGGATGAATTTTGCACCTAATAAGGCCCAGTTGTCACCTAATAAGGCCCGGTTTCCTCCTACTAAGGCCTAGTTTCCACCTAATAAGGTCCAGTTTCCACCAAGTCGGAGCGGAGAAAAGTTTTGACGCCCGTATTCACAAACGATACTTGCACAGCGTTGAATAGAGCTTTGATTGGTTCGTGTCACTCTGTGCGTCCACGCGCACTGTGAGACCTCCTAGCAATGTTTGTGAATATATCAATGAAATCTGATTGGTTATTCAAAACATTTCTCTGTTCCACTCCGCTTTGGTGGAAACCGGGTCTAACTTGGTTGTCTTTAAAACATTTCTCTGTTCCACTCCGCTTTGGTGGAAACCGAGTCTAACTTGGTTGTCTTTAAAACATTTCTCTGTTCCACTCCGCTTTGGTGGAAACCGAGTCTAACTTGGTTGTCTTTAATGTTTCCGACGGTACAGAAGTTACCGCTAGCCATTTCTTTTGTGTCGCCCTATGGATATGCTTTCTACATAGTTATGTATTATGCTTACTCTCTGTCGCTTTCTCAAATCCGTAACTCAAAATCTAAAGCGGGTCTTTCATTATTTGTAATGACGTGTAGCCTTACAAATCGTGTGCACCAAGGTTATCTAGCTTAACACCCGAGTGTCGTTAATGCTAGTATTGTTTAAATTATACGACACTGGCTTGATACACAGGAAATATAAAATCAATTTGTCTCTATCAACTCAACATCATAATTTCATGACTACATTCAGGATCGCAAGGAAAATGTAAAATTAAGGCACAATTGACATGACATGTGTTTAAAATACAGACTAATGTGTGCCTTTAAGTAGCTCATACGTGCGAACGAAGCATATTATGTGACAAGTAAACCTGAAAAGGATAGAATAAAAACGCCTTCCCTTTGTCCATGCTACTCTTCTTACCTCTTCTTATTTATCATGAAAATTTTGGCAGTGGGTTTTCAACAGAATTTGTACAAATAAATTGTTTCATATGTGCATTTGAAAAGATCCAAATAATAACACTCTTGCTATCTATCGCTCTCACGCTGGCTTTGCTCTAAATATATCTGCCAATATTAAACTAACAAATACTCAAAGCATTAAGTAATTACTAAATCAAGCCTGACAATAAGAAAACTTGTAAATTAACTAATTTAGTACTCAAATGTAACTCGGGAAAAGTATATAAATGGTTATATTAATTTAAGTTGTCATCTGTCTTTGAAATTACTTGAATAAGCCATTAGAAGTGGTCTGCTACCTCAATCAAATCAATGAGTAATTGAAACACTTCTCCAAAAATCCGTTAATATTAAAAATAATGGACTCATTATAAATAATTAAAATTTTGAGTGCATTTTGTATTAATCACATCTTTTAGTTTTATAGCGTCGTTAAATCCGTTCCAGTGAGACTAATTGGACTAAAAGCGTTTACGTTGTATTTGGGACTAATTCCAGCACAAACAGATGACAACTTCTAAAGCCTGGTCCGTGAGCACGTAGAATTTTGTCCAATGACCCCAAGCTACCCATCCTTATCGCTCGCGCGTAATTATGTTGCTGTCGCGCTCGCACACTCACTGCGTGCGCCCGTCGCATAGTCGCGACAGCAATATAATTACACGCGAGCGATAAGGATGGGTAGCTTGGGGTCATTGGACAAAATTCTACGTGCTCACGGACCAGGCTTTACCGGGGTAGTTTTACCCCATCCTCAAATTGACCTTAAAAATTTCCAGATGGACGTCCAAACGAGAATTACAACGCGACCAACCTGCCCTTCGGAGATTTCTCTTACCTGACCGAGATGATTTACAACCCGCTGTCGTACAACTACGGGGTCACCAGTGTTGACCCCGACCGGAACGTTGACCCCGACCAGACCATGACCTCCGAGACCTCGCATGACCGCACTATCGATGTATCCGATTCCTCCTCCGAAGATGATGACAGCACTAAGGTTGGTTTATTTTTGTTAAGAATCTTGCCCCTTGAGTTCGTCGTTTCAGCCAAATGACGTCCACTGCTGAACAAAGACCAGAGGTGCAATTGTGTAAAGCAATCGTAATCATTTGACAGTTCATAACGTACGATAAAGTGAGATAAACAAAGCGTTTGACAGAATAATCGTACGTTATGAACTGTCAAATGATAACGATTGTTTTACAAAATTCCACCTCTGGGCTGAGTGTGAGTTTACATCAAAAAAATATATAAAGATTTTACTCTTTCCACTAGGGGCGCAGTACAATCCGTCATACAAATGTCACTTTTTTACGCAATCTACTTCGAATGCGTTTGACGTAAACTTACACTACTCCCCCAGGTACTTTCCGCGACCTTCTTGAGTATTTAGGTACTTCTTGAGTATGAATAGAATAGAATAGANGGAGGTCATCCATGGCTTAAGGTTATTTTTTGAGCGACTAACGAGAGTAGTGTGTGAATGCTTTTCAATTACTAATTTCAACACTGAATCTAAGGTATTCGCGGCATCTGTAGCTATGCGTGGATGTTTATTGCAAAATCGCATCTATTACTACTGTATTAGGTGCTACAGTATTTAGCAGCAGTCGGTTTGTGAGGAGATTTAAGGACGAATCAACCCGGAAAGGGAATAGAATAGAATTTCTTTATTGCGGTAAATGTGGTACAAAGTAGTGATAAACAATGAATGTTCGTTTCACACATCTAACCAACGACAATTGGCATGCAACATACAGTGAAACAGAAAGCACACAATTATAAATAAGTCTCTAAGACTATAAAAATTCAACTAAAATAATTAATTAATTAACAATGATGATATTATACATTCAATAATAATAAACAAAATACATTTCGATTAAAAAAATATATATATAATAGAAAAACAGTGTCAATTTCTTTAAAATTTGCAATTAATAAATTCATTTATGCTATAAAAACATTTGTCGCTTAACAATTTATAAAGCTGGTATTTAAATTGCTTAGTGGGTAAGTCCTTCATTGCGTCCGGAAGTTTATTGTACAGTTTTAGGTATAGACATAAAGTAGCGAATCGTAACCGTATCAACTCGAGGCGGTCAGTATTCTTTGTATGAAACTTCATCGAAAAGCAATACGGTGGTTTTATATTATTTATTTTATTGTTGACCCTTTCCAAGTTGATAAGTCTGCCATGAGCTTTATTCCTAGAAATGGCACAACTCTACAAAACTATACGATATTTGTGTAGTTAAACTAGACCGTATACAAAAAAAAATTAAAAACATTATGCGAAAATGAGAGGAATAATATAAATAAACATTTATGTACAAGTGGGATAAAAATATACTCGATCGGACAGTTATGCAGATGGTCAACTGGTAGAATGACCCTATTCCGCGGTCTTCAAGCAAAACATTGTTTATTATTACTTTTTCCTTCTTGCTGTGCCATGTACTTAAATACTTTTGCATATTAATAGGTACTTGTTTTGAATAAAATAACTACCTACTTACTTGTTTAAAAGCAATAAGATTAAACGCAACCGCTCAGTGGTTGGTTTCTCTCTGAGCCGAGATTCTTGGTTCGATTTCCAGTTGCAGACAGTTGATTGGCCAAATTATGATATGCTTTCCGGTTTTATGATCCGGCGATCAACAGAAACACATATTAAGTAGGTAGTTTCTTATACTTAGTCTGGGTTGACAAATAAAAGGCGTGCATACTGTTCGACGTTTATTGCCAGACTGGTTTATAGAATACCCGCGTTACAATATATACCAACACCTTCACCCTTAATTAACATTAATTTAAACTTATGACTAATTATCTAAATAGACAATATGTGAGTATTTCTCAAAAAAAATGTACGTAACGAAACGGTAGTAACGAAATAGTAAGGCCATAAGGCTTGTTATACATTGGCGAAATATTGTGAATGCTCTAAAGGACATTGTCAGAAACCGCCTAAAAAACCGCCAAAAAACATTAACCCATCATAATTATTTTCTATTTTTTTTAATACATTAAGCACCCTTTCGTTCTAATGGACACTTAAGCATTGAAAAATTAAATAAATAAGTCTTTTAACGTTTATTCTATAATACTATTACAACTTCCGGACGTTTTGGTGCGTGGCATGGTCTAAAACCTATCTAGTTCCATAATTTTTGCCGATAAAATCTGTACGAGGCATTACCGTACTTTATTGCTGGGAGTCCATGTATAGTGATGTTCCTGCGGCCATCATAGACAATAAAATATCGATTTTGAAAATAAAATAAATCGATTAAACTGCTTTGAAGACTAGATTCGCGTTAAAAGCTAAAAAGATATTGACACTATTACAAGAAGCTATCTAAAGTGTCCAACTGGTCGAAGGTCGTAAATAAAATAAAAATAATTAGGACCATAAACTGATATTCATGGTATCATAACTGTAAAAGTGTCAGAATCCGATGTTGAATCCAATGCCAGTTGAAGTGTGANTTCAAAAATATACATTGATGGTAATGTCAGCAAATTAAGTTTTTTAAATATTGGTCGACATGAATCCATTGGCCCAGCACCACAAATAGCTCTCAGACACTTTTTTTGAATTAAAAAGGCACGCTGGATATCGACCGAGTTTCCCCACAGAACAAGACCATATCTTAAATTTGAGCAGACGTAGCCGTGATACGCAGCAAGTGCTGTCTTTTGATCACTAATTTTTGCAAGGCGGTATAAGGCAAACGCAAATCTATTAATTTTTTGGCAGACACTAGATACATGTTCCTTCCAAGTCAAATTCGCGTCAATGACAATGTAGTCTTACATTTGCGTCTGGTAAATGAGAGTAGTATTTCTGTAGTGGAGACAAAGACATGATGATGTAAAGTTTGTATCGAGTTGATTCTGTAATTCTCCATTCACACTAGATAACGTCTCACAAACAAAACTGATTGACTGTACTATTGAACGCAGAAAAACAGTCGTATTTGTGGTATTGTTGACCAAAGCCTTCATCCCCATGTTTGATACAAAACAGTGGATGTAAAACTCATAAAAATTATTTATTTATGCAAGTAGGCTCTTTTACACGTCCCAGCATTAACCCTACCACTGCTTCAGGACAATAAATGGGCCAGTGCTGAGAAGAAGCAGCGCTAGAAAATATTGTGTAAACTGTAAACGGTGTCCAAATCCGATTCTCCTATAATTTTGTAAGACAAGTTGCGACGGCATTTTATCGCCAACTCAATTGACTAACAATTATTGATTTTAGAATTTATGTCTTCTAATTTATTTAATGGTGTCCAATTTATTAACGATCGTGTTCCACATTTTAGTCGGCCGTTTGGTGTAGTGGTTCGAAACCGACTACTATTCCAGAGGTTGCGGGTTCAATTCCCGCACAGTACAAACATTTGTGTGCATGAACATATTTGTTTGTATTGGACTGGGTGTTTTCTATGTATAGCCTGACCAGGAACATAAAAACCCTGGCATAGAGGCGCGTCAATTGCATTTGATAGTGCAACACTGAGTACAGTCGTACCTGTGTGTTAAATTAATAGGCTAACTTTATGTATCAGGATTCAGGATTACGGGCTAATTTGATATTTTCATGAATTAACGAAAAAATATTATTATAGGTAACCTGGTTTAAATAAATTAAATGAAAACATCAATCGAGCTAGTAGGATTTATTTTATTATTCATCAATAATCAAATTCAGAACTTGAATATTCAACTGCAATGTCTGCTCATGAACGCTTCAAACTCGGTACTTCTTTCCCAATTCCATAAAATTCAACACTTAGAAAGTGACAAAAAACTAAAATAGGTAGTTGAAACAAACCACAGCTAATTTTCATAGTGGACTGTACTATAAACATGTCAGTCAATTTGACACCCTTGTCGGAAAAATTATTCAATGAAAATATTGTCCGAACCCTTAGTATTTCTCTTCGACAAATACTTTAACACATTGTGAACCACTTTTCTTTCACGAATATGAAAAGATTTTAGCAATTTAATTCACAAAATCAATTGCGCACATTTAAAATAAAGCTTGTTTACACTTTGACAGCAATAGACTGACATGCAAGGTGACATGACAATGAAGCTTTCAGTTACTGTTGCCATTAAAATAAATTAGTACCATTAGTTTTCCGCAACATGGCGAGGGTTTTTATGTTCTTGGTCAGGCTATATAATATGTATGTATTTACAAAAGAAAAAGTATTTATATCCGTTGTCTAGTACCCATAGTACAAGCTTTGCTTAGTTTGGGACTAGAAGCGCAGTGTAAAATGTCCAAGGATATTTATTTATTTTTTTATTTATATCCCGCAGGTTGAGCCAGAAGAGAACGTACCCCCAGTTGCCATGGAGACCCAAATCATGACCGTCGGCGACTGCCAGATCGTGAAGCTGCCTCCCTCCACCGAGGAGAAAGAAGACAAGTCCGAACAAGTCCAAGAGGCACCCGCCCCGCAAGCCCCAAGCGCGGTAACCATTACGCCTATAACCACTGTTGGGGACTGCACCATCCGCCCCGTCGAGAACACATAATACGACTGGGTCATCGTCTACCCCGTGTGCTACCCGTAAAGTTAAACCTGGTGAGAGAGCAAGGACTGGCGAGATGTCACTAGCAACACTGAGATAAAAAGAATATTGACAATTTACAAGTATTCGGCCAATGTTACAAATTTCCAGGCCAGGAAGGTTTCAAAAAAAAAAAAAGAGTTGCGAGATGCGGCGTAACAGGAGGGCTACTCTGAAACGCTGTTTACGTAGTTTCGGATCTATCTGTCACCGTCGCTCACGCTCAACTCGCTTTGTGTAAGAGGGATAGCAACATTCGAAGCTTCGGATTACGTTTTTCAACGTAACCCCGCAGAACTGTTTTTTGCAACTATTTGACGGTTCCTTAGCACTTATTGGCACGCTAAAAATTTTAACTCTGAGATTTACCTGAGTGACATCGTGGATCTTTATGAGAAATAGTGCTTTAGAAACGTGACTGGTTCAGTGATTGGTTATTGTACAAAACAGTGAAATAATCCTGACCACTGACACACAAATGACATCCTAAAATCGGTTTCTTTTGACACTCGTGGTTGTTGCTCTATTCTAAAGGAATTTTAACTTTATGGTGCTACCAGCACTTCGCCCGGGCGGTACAGGCTGTGAAGACTTCAGGTATTTTGTGGAACTTTGATGGTTATTCAAATTTGACTGCTTTTTAACGGCGTGAAAATGTTTACTAGCAAGGAAATCGTACTCGTGGTCGCATGAGACCGCGGTAACAATTGATTTCTATTGATCGCTGGTCCTTGAAGGATTGATCTACTTTTACCTTACTATCAAAGTATGCCAATATATCACCACAGCCTGTAGTTCTTTTCTAATCTTATGTATTTCCGCATAAAAAGCACATTGTGGTGCTGACACGCTCGGGCCCGCGGGGTAGACATTCGGCGCCGGCGCGAACATTCGCCGCGCGTATTTTAACAAGTATTATTGTGGTAGCATTCATAAGCTGTGCATAAGCTGTCACAATGTGATGAGAGTATAGATTCATGCTGGATTTGAAGGTTGGTGTATGCCTTTTAATCGGGTGGATATCTACAATGGCCTTGTATGTGTTGCTATACTTTCTTGGTGTTAGAATGTCTTCCGAATCGACGAGTCGCGAGGTTGAAATGCTACTACAATGATCGTAATTTTACATCGCTTTAACGTTTGAAGTATTTCAAGTGACTGTCGAAATATGCATTTAGATTGGTGGTAAAATAATTTATTTTAATGGGAAACTTATGTAACATAATGCCATAAGCTTTACATGTTTAACAGTGATACTCAGTGGTAACGATTTGTATGAACAAATGAAATGTCACAATTTAAGCAATGTTCTATGTGTGAATTTGTACTGGGATACAGTTTTAATTCCAAGACGTTTTCCTTGGGAGTATCTAGTATGGTCGACCTGCCAAATGATCTCAACACTTACGCGTAGACCGAAAAGGACATAGGACGGATTCATCACAAGATTTCATTAAATTATATGCATTTAACATTAAAACCTATATGCTGGTGTTGTGACAAATATTAATACATACAGTGGCCGCCGCACGGTCGTTTAACTGACCTAAACCTTGTCAACCCGTCTGACCTTTAACTATTATGGTGTATGCGAGTCTTCAGACAAGGTGACACGGTCCGAAGGCAATCCACGACTTGTGCGGTCAGCGCACTTTAGCCAACAGCTCACTGGCGATTTTCACGTAGAACATTGTGAGCCATAGTCATATAAAAATAGAAGTGTAATATTTTGCGAATATCTACATAGAGGCAGCATATTTACGACGTTGATGTAACGATCAAACATACATATTTAGGTACGCAAGTATATTAATCAATAATAAATAATCATGTATGCACTATAACGAGTCTTCTTCGCGGTCTGTATGTCTACTAGTGAATGCACGCAACTCTGTTACGAGTTGCATGAGAAAATCATGCATGTGCATTGGTACACAGCGGTCAATCTTTCGAGCTGTATGCCCACTGGTATTAATTGTGTAACATACAGACTGATTTCTTCTATTTCATTCAGATACACTGTCCAAAAATATTGTCCTATCCGCAGACTCTCGGTCGATGTATTGGATCTGATTATTATTATGCTAAGAGTTTCTGCCTTGTATTCATGTAGTGATATTTTTGTATGGTGTATCGTGTCGATGTAACAAGCATCTGATTGGCTGTCTATTACGTTAAGTTCAAATTATTTTTATAGTTAGTACATTGATGTGTAGTGTGAGCACACGCTATTTCGCCTTTCCATGTTCTTACTTTATCAATCTCTGTGAATACTAGATCGTAGCATGTAGTGTCTTAGATAAAACTTAATATTCTAAATATTATAAACTCGGCAACACCACACGAACAAGTGATACGACGTAAGCTACTTATTTTTAGCAGAACATAATTATGTCATTATGTGTACTAACATATTATATTTCTCTAAATCATTTTGCCTGTAAGCAATGATTAACGTATCGTAGTGTTATATTATATACATATTATAATATTATGAATAACGCAATATATAATATAAACCCCAAGGTCTGACAGCTACTTTGCCATTCGGAGAGGCTGTGAAACAGCCAGAATCGGCAACTTTATTCATTTGTATGAAGCCATTTAGTTCCTTACGTTTATTTTAATCATTTTAAATCAATGTCTTGTTAAGTTGTGCGTGCTATTACGCGAATGTCTCCTTTGCTATACTGTAATCTTTTTTGAAGTATTACATGATTTACGCTACTGTTTCATTTCTTTATATCTGTACAGTAGAATAGTTCCTAACTTGTAATCGATACAAATATAACCCTTTACATAATACATAGCGTAGCGATGACGTAAATTAATTTCTCCTTCGATCGTTTAGAATTAAGACTTATTTTTTATATAATTCGATCAAATTTTAGTAATTTTTAGTGTTTCACTATTAGTGATATCGATTCGAATTGTTTTAAGGTTGATTTACGTTTATATTTGTCGTATTTTAATAGAAGACTGCTCGGATTTGTTTTCTATTGTTTTTGAGTCTATAGACAAAGCAATTTCGCTCGTAATTCTACAGTTTCTAATTCAAGGCAGTAAATTGTCTTTGGTAATGTCATTTTCTATCCTCATCAGCTAAAATTCCCTTTCGGAGATTCCTATTGGTCCAATCATTTCTCTTTGTATTAAAAATTGAAGAATATAATAGCATGTTTAATGTGATCTTTCAACACACTGATAATAGATGGCGCACAAGCACATCACGTGACTTGTCGATCGCTTATGTCACATTTGTTGACGATTCGAAAGCGAACGTTGCTTTGTCTACAGACGTTTTCGCTTGAAGGGTGTCGTTGTTTGAGGCCTTCAGAGGCATCCGATGGGTCATGAGTCTCACACGGCAAGCTAAGCTTATTGAGAATTATTTAATATAGGAATCTGTATTTTTATAATGATACTAAGCTAAGTTTACGACTATACAATATAACAGTTACTCCGTATATTAATGTAGTGACCATGTATATCCCACGTCGTAGTTTTAGAGTACGTGCCGAGTTATTTTTGTCGTTCTATTATTGGCTCTGCGTTGTCGTTAAGTTTATGTTAGTTTGCGTTTGTTCGAGCCAGTACTAGCACACTTAAATCAATAAATCGAATGCTTCCAGATTTTTTGATAATATCTATGTAATGTATCAAACACACGACAGTAACTTAGGTATAGATCCTTTATCATCAAATTGCAATATAGCGTAAGTGTAGTTTGTAACAAAATTAGGTGTGCTATTATTGGTATGAGAACTTGTCTGGTTGTTTATCAGTACGAAGTTTTGCTCCGGATTGTTGGACGAATGATGTCGATCGCTGAGTGGTTGCATTTATATTTAATTTGTATGTAATTTTGTCACAGCGGTGGAATAAGAGGCGGCGCGAGTTGACAACATCGATTGAGTACGCGGCAAATAATTTATTGTCTGTATGCATGAATGAATGGCCCTTTTATTAAACTGATGTGACAAACATAGAAACGACTTAGATTAAGAGCAAGTAAGAAACAGTATAAGGCTCCACAAATCATAATTATTTGTCCTCCTAATACGTGTGTAAGAAATCGCCTACAGCTACACGTTGGTAATCAAAACGCATGTTCAAGAAACAATCTTCCATTATTGATCACTTCCTTGATCTAAGTATGTTTCTATGTCAATAACTAAATTATTTAAGTAATCATCATTGTATCCTATATTATTTATGTGAGACATCGGCCGGACAGTTGTCTTCGCATGTTTGGCGATAGTTTAGTTATAATAATTTTGTCGAACGATTTTAATTCCTGTATTGTGAAATGTTTATTCATTTTACGTTGTGATCATGTGAGTGCAAAATTTTTATTATTTTATCCAGTTTCGTTGACGGTTCGTCAATTTAAGGGCAGCAGAAATAATAGTGTTTCGTTCTGCATAGTCCAAGAGCAGTATTTTTTAGATGTAATCTTTATTATTATGAACTTTTTTATTATTTTAACATTTGAAATTCGATCGTTAGTTAATTTCTAACAATGAAATATTTAATAAAGAAATCACAAAATTTTATTCGTCTTTCACTTCCAATGAAACCAAGAAATTACCACAATAACTATTTATTTCATATAAATATAAATTTATTTTTGGATGACAACACTTTAGCATTGTTAGATTACGGCTAGCTAATGACTAATTATTACGAGATAGGCTTATCGACTGAGACCCCAGCTTAGGTGCCGGGCGGGGGCGGCGGGGCCCCGGTGCCCCACTGGGGGGCCCAGCCGAGGGGCAGCGGGGGACGCCCGACGTACAGGGCCGGACCGAGGAATGGCGGCGGCGTGTGCGGGTTAAAAGGCGGCGGAAACATCGGCGGGCCCGTGAATACAGGCGGCGCGCTAAAAGGCCCGGGCCTGTAATCGGCGCGCTCGCGCGTCTCGGGCCAAGGACGCGCGCACGTGAACCGTGGAGCCGAGTTAGGGTTGCTCCGTCTGGCCGCGAAGGGGTTTCGTCCTCTGCTGGGGCCGCTGCCGAATCTGCTGCTGGATTCAGACGGCCTGCCGCTTCGTCTCTCGGGCGGCTTGCGGTTTCTCGAAGTCTCCCCGGTGTCGGAGTCCTCCCTGTGCGCTTGCTTAGCCTCCTTTCTGGCTCGGTTCGCTTTGCGTTCCTCCTCGTCGTCGGAGTATTCGATCTGGTGGGGCGGCGGCTCCACGTCGTGCAGCCACGATGCGTCGGAGCCTTTCACTCTGGAAAAAAATACGATTTTAGAAATCATTCGGTGCATTTTGCCGCTTGATCAGCAAGATTTCGACTTTAACATATTTTTTTTTTATTCTACTACTACCGACTAGATACCATGTCATAAAAATGATGATTTTACACTTTACTCAACACTAAAAACGCATTTTCAACCAACCCCTGTCGGTTATCTTCTTGAAGACGCAAGTCCATTCAGCAGGACGTTTTACACATGTTTACCGAGACGTGGATTTTTACTTTCTTTTCATAGGTTAACTACCACTTTATGCTTAGCGAGATGGAGAATGGTAGCTTTTAGTGGTTACACCCCTCCATTCTAGAGGGGAGAGACCCCACATAACCTACCGCCTAAACACGGATATGCAAAATTCAACGCATTTTAACACCAAGCGCACGAATTTAGTTAGAGCACAGTCTGGATTCTTGTGTGCCACAGAAGTAGTCGCCCTATCTATATCCTAGATGCCATAAAGGTCGACATTCACTTGAGCAGATCAAACAGGAACACGTAGCTGGTGTGCGGCGCACGCGACACGCGATAATGAGAGGTGAATCGCACGAGTAGTTAACACACCTGGGTCTTGTTATGGCACCAGTGCAATTGCCCTATATTTTCGGTACTTTGGGCAGCAAGGTTCTGGAGTGGAGGCCGCGTACCGGAAAACGCAGCGTGGGATGTCCACCCACAAGGTGGACCGACGACATCATAAAGGGCGCTACCAACCGGGCAGCATGGAAAGCATTGGGGGAGGCCTATGTTCAGCAGTGGACGTCCTATGGCTGAGATGATGATGATGGGCACCATAACTACGATACTTACTTGAGCAGTTCAGACAGGAACACGTAGCTGGTGTGCGGTGCGCGTGGTGCATAATATACATCGGAGCCGACAGTCGCGCCGCGCGAAGCCGCGTGCGAGCGCGAGTTGAAACGCACGCAGTAGTGCGGCTCTGTCACCTGGAGATGCAACGGTTATATTTGAAACAAAGAAAAATAATTTGTTCCTTTCTTTGTATTGCCCCCGATAGTAAAAGCACGGGTAAAAGGGCGCATCTAACACCAAGTCAAAACGGAAATAAAAAAGTTTCAAATAATTTTACATAGGTAATTCTTAGCTGTCCTTGAATGTAAGTCTTAAGCGAAAAAATGTTAGATGCGCCTTTTTAAATTATCTCTCAATCTCTCCACTTTAATTTCTCCACTCTCATTCTTCCTGTGAATGTTGTAAGAGACTACTAAGTTACTTAATATGCGACCATCAGGCTCTCCCATCGACATCGTAAAGGTAGCAGGGAAGCGCTGGACGCAGGCCGCTATCAATCGATCAACATGGAAAGTATTGGGGGAGGCCTATGTTCAGCAGTGGACGTCCTATGGCTGAAATGATGATGATGATGAGGCTCTCCCAAGTCGTCTGGCTAGCAATAAATAACTGAAGGTGTTGCCTTGGAGATAAAAGGCTTGTTCAGGCGTTTTCTGGGTGGTTCTTATTGGGGAGGCACTGAGGCGGTAACCGTGCAGTTATCGCGCGAGTGTGAACAAGCAATGCCTTCATAATAGAGAAGAGTGGGAGTGGTCCTATTTTAGTCTGCTAAACCAACAACCAGGTGGACCGACGACCTGATAAAGGGTAGCAGGAAGGCGCTGGATGCAGGCCGCTACCAACAGTGCGATGTGGAAGTCATTGGGGGAGACCTATGTTCAGCAGTCGACGTCCTATGGCTGAAATGATGACAAAAACAACATGACAGTTTAAGGAACAGAATTAATTTATTTAAAAATAATCTAGTTCCACTCTCACCAATGAATGTGTAAAGTTTATACAATTAACGAAGCAGACTTGAGCTAAGTCTGATAGTAAGAACTAAAAAATAGATAGCAAAAGTAGTTTAAAACAAAACTTAATAATTTATTGCAGTAATTATTGCAATTAAAAATCCGTATCATGTACTGATTGATTGCATTATCTTAGTCTGAATTAGGGAAACAACAAAGATAATAAAGATCTCAAGGTTACCTTCAATCTTGTGGTTACTTTTAAAAACATTTGTGAGTATAATATTATCTAGTGAAGTGAAATCAAGTGGACTATTTGGTCTACTGAACTCTAGCTATTAGATACTTATTCTTATGACAGCAGATTTATAATCAGTTTCAGACTTACAGGGCCAAAAACATCGAAGACTTTCCCTAGTGTCTTGGCTCCACTATCCAGGAATAGAACGCTGTCCAAATCAACTGCAGGCGTGTCAGGAAATGCACGGACTATCACTAGAAATAGAAAAAATGTATTAATATAGATCGTTTCATCTACTTATTAATATAGATTGTTCCATCCACGAAGACGCGCCTCACCAATTTTTGGTCGAGGGAAGCGCGGAGTGCGGCGAGTTTGATTTGAGCAATCCGAGCGTTATTATTGTAGTGTGCGTGTGCACTCATGGATAATTTTGCGTGTACCGATAACATTCAAACATTAGCGGAAGAAAGGTTGGGCGCGTCTTCGTGAATGAAACGATCTATACTATGTCAATGCCTATACAAATTAGTGTAAAGAATGATCAATTAATCATCTGATAAGGTTGATGAGTATCACTAAAATTCGAAATCTAGATAAATAGGCCATTAATTCGTAATTAACATTGCATTAATTAGCTTTCAATAGAAGGTCAGATAATACATACCAGTAGAACTACTGAGTAATCAAGAAAATAATTATTCATTGGTCTGTATTCAATATACTAAACTAAGGCTCTTAAGGCTGGGTTGCACCATCTTACTTTGACTTTGACGAACATCAAAAATCGGTCAAACTCCATACAAAAAGCACCGGTTATCGTTATAGTTATGATCAAAGTTAAGTGGTGCAACTCAGCCTAAGAAATCAATTTTCTTCAAGACTTGATGCATACCTAGCCTGTCAACAATGCTAGCAATAGTCCCAATTTTGGTAGTTTCGTGAGCGGGCAGGCTGATGGCCAGATCCTCAATAGGCGGCAAGTCGTCCAACTCCAGCTCCCCCTGTACTCTGGGAGTTTCTGGCTTCTCTGTTCGGCTTACATTGTCTTCGTCACTGGAAACAATTTGTTGTAAAATTTAGGTATTGTATCTCCAAGACAATACATACTTATTCACATAAGCGTCAATGTATTTACAAGCTTTTTTTATGCTCAATGGTCTACTTAAAATAAAAGCAGTCATTACGATACAGGGTTTTATTGTCTTTCATCTAAATGACTTATAAGAAGTATAAAGAATTAGGTTGCTTTTAAGGTAAAGTCTGTATCGAGATATTAAAGTAAACATGATCATGTTTCCCAATGTGATAAAAAGATGTTAATGATTACCCAATATAATTTTGTGGTAATTTCAACACATTTCAACACGTTACATGATTCACACTTCAAAGGAAGTTTAAAAACTGAATAAACAAGTGGTAATAAATGATTTATTGACATGAGTATTTGTGGATATAGTTATTTAATTGATTTCAAATACATCATTAATATTAGATACCAAGTTTCTTCATTCACTTTCTACTTTTATTTGATTCAGCCATGCATACATAAAAAGTGCATTTAAAATAAGGTCTTGCATAATTCCAAGTTTCATTAGTTCCTAGTTGGAGGAAAAAGTTAATTATACTTTTTCAGTTTCTGCAGAAAAAGTATTCACGAAAAGGTGTAGTTTGGGGGCCAACAGTCACAAGGTTATAGAAGTACACTGCAGTGTCCTTGAACTGGCTGACACAACTTCAAAGAAGGGGTCAACAAAGTTGGACTTTAAAGCAAATGCGGAAGAAACTCACCCACTTGAGAGCTCTTCTACACCCTTCACGGAGTCAACGTCGCTATCACTGTCGCTCGAGTCAGAGTCGCTGTCGACATCCCTGTACTCCGTCACCTCGTACTCCACCACACCACTCTCACAGCTGTCTATTATCATATGCCTCGTGGACACATCCTCCCGATCACTGGGCCTCGACAGCGGCCCGTGAGCGCAGGCATTTATTATATTATTCTTCATCACCATCTCACTCAACTCTGCCGCGTCCGAATCCTCATTCCCAGTATTCGACTGGGTTTCGGTATCATCCGAATCAGAATCTGAAGCACCATACTCTGATATTAAACTTAGCGACACGTTTTTATTATTGCTTTGATCAAGGTTTTCCATTGTGACGAGTGATGCGTGAATCCGCAAGCACAGCACAACACGTGTTATTCACTTATTATCCTAAAAGTACAATATCGAAATCTAGCGTTTTTACTAATAAATAAAGACACGTTATCTAAATAATGTGCTTGAGACAAAAGAAAATAAACGTAATGAAAACGCAAACTACCACCGCAGTTGTAAAATGAATGAATGATCACAGACTTGTAGGGATATTCGATATACATCGATGTATCAAAAACATCGATGTTTACAATGCGATACATCGAATGGATCCGATGTTTTGAAAAGCTATTGAAATACTCGATGTATCGATGTTTTTAAGTTTTCAGTGTTAAAACATCGAATCGATGATAACCAATTAAAATTTCATAAAACTCAAGTCTGACCACTAAAATTTTACTTATACAGACAACCCAACTTGTATTTTAAAAATGTTGGCAACACTGCGTACGAGTGCAGTGAGTAGTGTCTCTAGTGACAATAAAAAAAAACTGTTGTGTCAATGTCGCGTTACGCGTGTCGGTTGGCGAGTTTGTTTGTGTCAATCAACAAAGAAATAGGCTGAAAGGCAAACGTTTAAATAAACTGTTGTTTTTGCAAAGTCTTCCAAAAGAATACTGGAAATACATAGGATATAACAAACTTATAAAAATAAATGCGGATGTTTTTTTTTTGTTCTTACTTTAATATAGTGTGAGTCACGTTAAAGTGTACATAATGAAAATATGTGTAATTAGACCTATTTTTATCGACAAAAAAAGGTCAAAAAATTTTTGAGATTTTTTTTTATTTTTTAAAGAATTTTTTTTCTTACAATTACTTCTCGTAAAGAAAACGTAACAACTTTTAAAGTAAGAGGTATATCCTGATAAAATAAAAACAGTAATAATGCTAAATAACAGGCGATACTAAAAAAAATATATAAAATACCCAGAAAATGCCAACAAATAATAAAAAATTATACTTTTTGAAAAAAATCTGCTTTTCAATTCGTGTTTTTTTGGTTATTTGATAAATTTCTCCAAATAATGCCCTTATAACAGGTATTTTTTATTACTTTGTATTATTCTCTATCGTATTACTTTTGTAAAACCAAAAATTGCATGTCTCTATCNTTCTAAGTCTGGCCTCCATTTTTATCTTTAGCTTCATGGTGAGTATATCTGTCTATTTTTTTTTTTTTTTTTTTTTTTTTTTTTGATGGCATGCACGGCTTGTGCGTCAGCCACGACGAGGTAAGGTAAAGTTAGGGAAACGTATAGGAAAGTAAAAATGGAGAACGGGAAAAAAAAATTCAAACAGAGAGCAGATTTCTGCTCTCTGAATTCAAAGGATCAGGAAAGTTAAGGAGAAAACAAAATATTAGGTAGATTAAATTTTTATGTTATTATATATCTGTCTATGTCAAGTTTGCATTGTTTCGACCATAGACTCCAAATTCGGTCCTTGGTATTTTGTTGCCATACTAAAGATACATAAAAGTTACACAAATATTTCATCATTTGTTATCCTGGAAATGCGGATATGAAAAGTAAAATAATGCAGAAATTCTTCATTTTTAGTCTTACATTGCTACATATCGAATAGTTGGAACGCTTTAGTTCTTGTTTAACTATACTTAGCATCGGTCTGTATAAAAATAGAATTATTAGTTGAAAAAAAAACTAACTGCTTCAATAAAAAAATGCTGAAATATTTCAATAGGACTATAATAAAATCAAAGATAATTAATTGGTGTTGAAATGGGAATCATCAAGTGGCTATTTTCGTAAAAATTATAACAAAAAACATAGGCCAGACCCCCACTAGGTGTATCGACGATCTGGTGAAGGTCCCGGGAAGTACAGTTACTTCCCGGGACCTTCACCAGATCGTCGATGCGGGCAGCGTAGAACCAGTCGAGAAAATCCTCGGGGGAGGTTTTTAATGAATAACAAATAAAAACGTTTAAATATTTTTGCCATTTATTTCTCCACAGCATTATCATTAGCATTATTCCTAGTCGGCCGGGACACGCGCGGCGCGCGCGGGGGCGGCGGCAGCTTGTAGTGCACGGTCCGCACGTGGAGACGCACGCTTGTGGAGTATTTGAACCGTTCGTTACAATTTAAGCGATTTCAGTGAGTTGGAGTTACACGTTTTTTGCGATGCCAGCGAATTGGCCCATGTTGCCGTTGCGTACTGGAGGTTTGTTCTTCCTAACGGGGAAGTGAAACTCACGCTTGTGGCTAGCAAGGCACGGGTATCTCCGCTTAAGCCCGCTTCGATTCCCCGATTGGAATTGCAGGGAGCTTTGATAGCTTCTCGGCTGGCCACGACTATTGGAGATGCACATCGAATCAAACCAAGTCGGCGTTTTTTCTGGACTGACTCAATGACTGTATTGGGGTGGCTGCGAAGCGACGCACGTAATTTTAAGCCATTTGTGGCCCATCGCGTCGGCGAAATATTAGAAAACAGCCATAGTACCGAGTGGCGTTGGGTTCCAAGCGAACTTAACGTGGCTGACGACGCGACTAGGGGGACATGCGGCATTGAGTCACGATGGATATTTGGCCCAGACTTTTTATTAGCTCCAATCAGTGAGTGGCCTGCGGAAAAGGCTTCGACATCGTCAGATTTAGGACAAGAGGAGCTCAAGTCACCCATTTCTCATGACGTCGTACCACTCGAACATGTTTCAGATTCCATCAACGTTATTCATTCATTAAATCAGCTTCCCTTACCAGTAGTAGCAGACGTCACTCATTTTAGCTCTTGGATTAGACTGGTAAGGGCGACTGCTAGGGTCCATGTATTTCTCGCGCTCATATTCAAAAATCGGGGTCACACTTTTCAAAATTTTTGGGTTGGGGATATTTGTTTAACGCAAAGATCAGGTTTTCAATCTTCGACCCCTTCCGCCACGGCTCCTTGCCTATTGCCGCTAAAAGCTGAGGACATTCTGCGTGCGGAACGACATCTTCTGGCTCGGAGTCAGCTGAACGTTTTTCAAGAGGAAATGCTCTGTCTGATGCGCCACCAACCCGTGCCAAGAAAGAGCCGCCTTGTCACACTATCCCCGGTGTTGAAGGATGGATTGCTAGCCCAAATTGCTCGTGACCTGAACCCCCTGCAGGGGAAGTGAAGCCGATCCATCTTCATCCCGGAGTGTCCCGGTGCCAGCAGTGGTCGAGCTGACGGAAGGGGACCCGAGATTGGCTCAGAGGTTAGTGGGACCAACTATTTCTCCTCTGCAGGCAAAATCATTTGGGAAACGTACTTTGGACTTCCGATTAAGATCCCGCCTGGTGTGGCTATTTACACGCCATACCATAGTTTTGTGGTCCTTCGAGCCGGATATTGCATCAGCAATTTTCGCAGCATAATTTTCATGAAATTCACGTAATTTTGGTGAACTTTTAGAAAATTCCAAATTTTGACATCTGTCGGACATCTTTGGAAAATTTTCAAATTAAGATTTTAAAATTTAATTTTATCGCAAATAATTTTCGGGGTTATTGCATTATTGTTACGCATTATAATTTCAATAGGTACGGTTAAGGAACCTGAGGTTATTCTGGGTACAATTTTGGACCGAACGTTCGCAATTTCGCATATTCGCAATTCCGCATATTCGTAAATAATTTTAATATTTTTATTTTTTGTTACGCACTTTTATAATTAATAAATACGCAAAATGGAGGATTTTCAACGTAAATTGAAGATTCTTCATGCAAAAAAAGACGCTATATTTCAAAAAGTGAATAGCATTTACGAGCTTTCTTTAAAAGTGACATCATTTGTAGATACTCGGTCAAACGAACACTTCATGATCGAGTCGGAATCTATTGACGCATTACATTCCAAATTTGAGGCTATTGTGGACAGCATAAACGAATTTAGTCTGTTAGAAAACGCATCGGCTGTGCCTGATTATAGCCCAATGATAGCTTTTGAAGATTTATACACGCGCATCAAACGAATGAGGAACAAGATGAGTGCCTCTTCAGCCACGTCATCGAGGCCGGTGGAAACGCATCATATCAAATTACCACCGATTGACATTCCATCATTTGATGGTAGCATGGAAAAATGGCCGGTTTTCTATGAATCCTTCAAGGCTAATATACATCATAATCCCCATGCTG